TTTTTTTTAATAAATAAAATAAAAAGAGCTTGTTCAGTGATGAAGCACATATGGTGCTCACATATGGTTAACAGATGACCACCCACTTTTGCATATCAAAAATTTAAATTTTTCGGTATTATGTAGTTCACATCTGGCTGGATTACCCAATCATAACAGAGGTCATCTAAATACAGAAGTCTTAAAGGTGCAGTAGATAAAACAGGGTCTTTACAATATAAGAGAAAATGTTCATGGAAACAGAATTAAGAAAAGCTTCACTAAGTGGGCTTTAAAATGCCACAAAAGTATGTTTATGAGAAGTATGCTGATATACAGTAGTGACAATGCTTTAAGTTTGAGAGGAGGGAGGAGGGGGGGTAGATCCTACTGTAAATGAAAATAAACCAAAGCCAATTTAGTGAGACCAAACGACGAGAATGTAAAATAATCTTAAAGAATCTAAGGCTGCTGTTCTTTTATTTGTAGATTTAGAATTAAATAATAGAGGAATGTTTTGTGGCTCTGAAATGTCTGTAGACAACATTTGTAGGCGGTGGAGTTGCTTTGTTTCTGTACTTGTGAAAAGAGAATGCTATTGGCAGTATGCAGTAGCAGAGAAAAAATTATAATAATAATACATGTATGAGAAGTAAACAAATAGTTCACCAAAAAAGGAAATCATGATTTACTCACCCTCATTTCGAATCAGCAAAAAAAAAAAAAAACAGTCATGCAGTAGGAAAAGATTGAAATTGAAGTTGATATTCAATGAGAATCTTAACTATTTGGCAGGTTAATAAGAGTTCATAGATCAATCACTATTTTGAGATTTTTGATGAATCAGTTGATCCATTTCACTGTCTAAATTATTTATTTGTCACAAATCAAAGTTCTTGGATTCATATAATTGACTTTATACATGTTTTGAATGGCATGAGGTTGAATAAATGATGACAGAATAGATTTTTGGGCAAACTTATCCCAAATGTATCCCTTATATTTTGTGTATTTGGTGTAATGAAATGTTTATGCGGTTTAAGG